CTTTTCTTGTTACGTTGTCAGTCAATATTAGTATGTGTTGATTGCATACCTGTGGAAGGAAGCTGTGGAGAGCCAGGTGTACTGCTCGAAGCTCCAGTCAGTTTATGCTGCATGACTGTTCTGTGGAGGACCAGCGGCCTTGGGCTGTGAGGGATTGAAAGTGAGCTTCCCATCCAAACAGGCTGGCATCGGTGGTGATGGTAAGTCTGTGGGGCTCTTTAAAGAGACAACCTCTGTTTATGACTGGTCTGTCCACCAGTGGAGAGATATGAGGACCTTTGATTGAATTTTGACCTTGTATTTGGAGTTGCTTCGGCCAGATTGCTGGTACGGGAGCAGAAAGCACTGGAGGGATCTAATATGGAGGCGGGCCCAAGAAATAATAGATATACATGAGATCATCTTGCCTAACAATTTTGATAGGTCAGCTAGGGGTACCCTTTTTTGAACTCTGATCTCAACTAATTGATGGGTGCTGTTTTGTCTTTCCTGGTGACAGGAAAACTTTGTCTTCCACTGTATTATGATTGCTCCCAGATGGATTAATTGAGTCGATGGTGTTAGATGACTCTTTTTCCAATTTATTGAGAACATGTATAGTTGTAGGGATTGTAATGTGGTCTGAGTATCTCTGAGTGCTTGATGAACGGATGATGACAAAATTAATATATCATCAAGGTAACACTGGAGTCATACAGGTACACCTTGGAGATGAGCAGCAAGAGCTGCAAGAACCTTTGTGAAGGTCCTGGGGGCAGATGCTAGTCCGAAAGGGAGAGCCACATATTCGAAATGGTGGTTATCATAACAGAATCTCAAAAATGTATAGTGGGAAGGCCGAATAGAGATATGTAGGTACGCCTCCGTCAGATCTATAGACGTAAGGACGTCACCTTTTCTGATGCTGAGTAAGATAGATTGCAGGGTGTGCATTTTAAATTTGTGATATACTAAGAAACTGTTAAGATGCTTCAGATCTAATATTGCTCTCCACCCCTGGAACTTTTGGGAACAACAAAAAGATGCGAATAGAAACCTCGCCCTCGTTGATTGGTAGCTACTGGTTAGATGGCTCGTATGTCCAGTAGATGATGGATAGCTGTTTCCATAAGATTACATTTAACCGGATCTCTGGAAACAGGGCATGACATGAAAAAGTCTGGAGGAGTGGATTGAAACTCCAGCGCAAGGCCAAATCTGACTGTGTCTCTGACCCAGGAATCAGATGTTGAGGAGTTCCATTGCTCTGCAAATAATTTAAGGCGTCCGCCAATGGGAGCTGGGTCCGGGGGGTTATCTTGGACGCCAGAAAGACCTATTTCCTGCTCCTCGAAAGGATCTCTTGGATTGGCCACCCCTCTTATTCCTATCCCCAAAGTTGGACCTCTCTGGCTGCTGCCCTGGTCTGAATGATGGGGGTCTCTGGTATCTGGGTGAGAAGGATCCCTGATAAAAGGGTCGAAAGGATCCCCTCCGAAAGGACTGAGGGTTTCTAGAATCTGACTTCTGAAAAAGGGAAGGTAGAATCTTCTTTTTGTTTCGGGTTTCGATTAGCAGCGGGTCGAGGGCAGGGCCAAACAGTCTTGTCTCCCGCAATAGGAGATGAAGCCAGCTTGCATTTGTGCTTAAAGTCCGCTTGCCAGTGTTTTAACCATAGTAAGCATCGCACTGTGACATGTGAAGTAATGTCCCTGGCTGAAAACTTGACTGCATGGTAAGTTGCGTCAGCTGAGAATTCAGCGGCTGCTATAAGTTTTGCAATATCTTGGTGCGCTCTAATGTTGGAATTAGGGACATGCTCCCATAAGAGATGGAGCCACCTGAGAGAAGCACGGGTAAAGAATGAGGTGGCCATGGCCGCTCTGATGGCCCACGCATCAGACTGATGGGCCCTGCATAGGGCAACCTAGGCCCATTTTTCCTTTGGCTTTAATGCCTCCAGCACTTCACTGGGAATGGAGGACGAGGACGCTAATCCCAGTATAGGTTCGTCTACCTCGGGAGTATTCAATAATTTTGAGAAATCAGGGGCTAAATTAAAATATTTCCTGTCATATCCCGTGGGGGCAGGGTAGACCGCTGCAGACGCCCACTGTTTCTGTACCAGGTCTGAAAACATGTGAGGAACTGGAATCACATCTGCCTTGACTAACGGTTGGTTGAAAATTAGATCTTCTGGTCCCTCTTCTGAAGGAGTTGGAGTGGTAGAAGGGGCCAACTTGTTCAGGCGTGCAATGTTTTTTGCCTTAAACAAAAGTGATCTGAATAGTTGTGGGCAGAATAAGCCTGTAAATGCAGGTTGATCAGGAACAAGGCCCTCATCCTCAGACATCCCCCTTTCTAGGGGGTCCGCTTCTGACAGGGCCGGGTCACTGTCATGTATTGATCTTGATTCAATCTGTTCCCTTTGATCAATTTGATCCACTTCTTCCGCCTTCTCCTCCTCCTCCTCTTGCGGCCCCTGGAAGGGCATGTCCCCCTGAAACCATACCTGGGTATAGTGTTGCTCCGATCTGGTCAATGATCTTAGCAATTGAGAATCATAGTCAGTGGTTGCAGGGTGTTCCCTGGTCAGATCTGCGTGTTGAAGACCTGCTGCAATTCCCTGCGGATTGCCAACTCCATCCACGCCTTCATTCTCTCTGGAACTTTCTCTGGAAGAATGTCCTGTCGAAGATCGGCAGCCGTTGGAGTGAATGTAGCTTCAGGAGCCCTTCGCGTGGTCTGTGTTCCAGGTAACCGGGCCTGTTGACTCTGGGAAACTAAGCTGCGTCTGGATGAGAGGGAGAGATCTTGGGGAGGAGGAGGGTGGGAAGAGGTAGACAGTACTGGATTGTGGGGCAGAAGGTCCTGTGAGGCCCTGTGTGTCTCCCTTGCATGCCTGTCTATTTGCTTTTCTAATGCTTTATGGCACCTGTTGGCATCCTTTTCTGAAAATTTAGAATGACCTTTTGTCTGCTTAGATTTGTGCTGAGTTTTAGCTTTGGCCCTTGATGTTGAGGTCTGAGAGCTACTACCGCTTGCCATTTTGATTGAAAGAGATGCAGCATGCTTGATATTCAAAGTGATACTGTGGAGGTGGTTGGCATACCCAGGGGCCTGATCCAAGAAGGACCGGTTTCCCTGATAATATCTTATCCCCCCCCCCTTTTAAGATATATGTATATATAATATGAGTCGTATCACAGTAATAATATCTTTCATTATTAAGATATTAATACTGAATATTTTATTACTATTATTGTTATTATTATTATTGTTATTATTATTATTGGAGTGAATGATAATCACCAATATATATAGATATAAATATATATATCTAAATTAATAGAAAAGCAGCTTGATATAGTGAATATCCGAACAGCCAAATTAAGAACGCCTGAAAAGACCAAGATAATAAAGAGAGGCTTTCAACAGCTTCCCTCACAGGTGGACAGGGGCCTGGGTGCTCGCTGTTGTGCCACTGGGTAGGTAAGGCTGTGAGGGTTAAGCCAACAATAATGCATGGATGGCCTCGAATCTAATAAGAAAACGAGGTGTAATAATTCCTTAGGTTATCAGAAGCAAAACCTCTGATCGGGAAAGAAAATTACCTCACACAGCTCAAGTTTCGAATAGCGCGGCCATGCGGTTTTTAAAACAAAGGCAAAACAATGGCCATTACTTTTGGCGCGCATGTGCTTCCCAGCAACAAACTCCCGTTGCGTGGGAAAATGCCTCCGACGGCTTCTCCTTGTGGGTAAAAAAAATGGCTGGGAAAGGGGTGGAAAGAATTAAGCTTTCTGCTTTCCACACCAAGACGGTGTTCTGAGGGGAAAGTCAAATGGTAAGACTCAGATAAGAGTGAAAATGCCCACGCCGCTATTGCTGATGTAGAGAAAGGCAATGCGGAATCACAATGGCAGGGGGTAGAACAAACAGATGGGGGGGCTCGGGGCAATGCCGAAGCCTCCCGCCGCTTCGGGGTACGAAACAGCGCTGCCGGAAAATGCAAATGATCTCCAAAGACCAGATGGAGAGAGCTAACGTCAGGAGATCGTAATGTGATTTGGAGGCTAAAAGCCTGAAAAAACAAACTGAACTATATCCAAACCTGCTGAGTAATACTCCTGTTTTGGCCAAGGAAGAACAAAAAGCACTGCCTATCCACAACGAGGCTGAGCCAAAACTGGGGAACACTGGGGAGGAATCCCGGGAGGAGGAGGAGCATTCCACAAATTAAGCCCAGCCTAGACATGCAGAGACTGAAGCACTTCCCACTACTGGATGCTCTGAATAGCTCATGGGAGAATTAGCGCCTTCACTGCAGAAAAACTTGCAGTGATCGATTGAATATATAAAAGTAATTCCTCAGTGAATATTTGTACTTTCATTTGGAGATTAAAGCAATATTTCCTTTATGAAAATAGGAAAAAAATGTGTAGGTGAATATATTTTTGTAATATGTGTATAGCAGAAGTGAACTTGAAATTTTTTAAAAGGCATTCTAATCTACATCTAGCTGCCTCCACTGCCATAGAATACATATACAAACACAGAGTTTTATGCTCTGTAACTGTGATGGCAAAACTATGGCACGTGTGCCAGAGGTGGCATGCAAAGCCCTCTTTGTAGGCATGTGCACCATCGCCAGCTGCTCTTCTGGTCTCTGGCGCACCAGCTGGTCTTCGGTTTCTGGTGCACCTGAAGACCAGCTGGCCGGCACATGCATGCGCATCGGCCAGCTAGTCTTTGGTTTCTGGTGCTCCAGTGCATGTGCACATGTGCATGTGCATGCACACATGCTCCGATTTGGGCACTCAGTGCCGCAAAGATTCGCCATCACTGCTCTGTAATGAATAAGAGGTTTCAATGTAACTAGAGATGTTAATTTTCTAAATTACAATTTAGGGTATAGAATTATATTCATGGGATAAGGAGGTTGGAGGTTGTTAAATGCAAAAAAAAAGTTTGCAGTCAGAAATCAAATAACATCATATGCTAATTGATTTATTCTGTAGGTGAAACGTCTAGATATACCATGCTTAGGTGCTGAAAAAAAGGAATATCAACTGTAAAATGATGTGATTAAAGCAATATATTTGAAGGTAAGAATATATTTTCTGTTGTGAGACTTATGCTATCAAACTTGGATATACCTATAAAATTATATTTTTGTCAAACCCCCCCCCCCCCGCTCAATGCTTAATGTCTCAACAGACATTTAAAGGGTGCTTACAAAAACTTCGGTTGGTCTAGTTGCTTCTTGGTAATTAGCAATATGAAAGAAACCATAGTTATAGTTCTTGAGTTTACCTTTATAATATCAAGATTTTTTGTGAGGGTAATACCAAGACAAATTTTGAAAACACAACAACAACCAGGCTCAGATCTAATGGTGTCACTTTAGCAGTTATCTTTATTGCACTGTTGAATCAGTCTGTTTTCTTAGAATAAGGTTATCCAGCAGAATCCTTAGGATTACAGTCTAATACCAAAGATTTTTATTTCATAAAAATTCAATTTCAGCAGAGGGATTTATTCCTCTGTATCAGGATAACCGTCCATGATCCTGATATTGAAATCTGTTCTTTATGTGTACCATATGATCTGTTTAATGTAGATGGCATAACCCTTCTCTAAAACAAAAAGCAATAGTATATAGTTTGGTACTTGTCACTGATAATTTTAACTTTCCAGATGGAGATTTACAAAACTAAAATTTATTAAACTTAGATAAGTTTTACATTTTTAGATAGAATATATTATACTGTATACAAATGGAACATGATTATTCATTTCTATGGACACTGCAAATAATATTCCAGGTAGAAGTAATATTACATACTGTTCATAAAACTAGCCCGGAACTGCAGGTTGTCCTCATTTAATGATGATTCAATTGTCCAGTGACATGGTTGCAAATGGAAAAACCTCATGGATGCACTACTTAGCAACAGTAGTTCCTGCTGTCCCAGTTGTCATTGTTAAGTGAGGACTGTGTGAGCCATTAAGCAATGACCTCATGTGACTTACAACTTTCTGCCGGTTTCCCCATTTGCATGTTGGAAACCCACAGGGAAGTTCATATAATTTTGACCATGTGACTTTAGGACACTGCTGTGTTATAATTGTGAGCTGGGCACTGAGCACTTGAATCATGATCACATAAATGTGGAAATGCTGCAATTGCTATAAGTACAAAGACTGGCTGTAACTACCATTCATTCAGCACTGTCATAAGTTTGAATGAACAAATATTCATTAAACAAGGACCACCTGTAGTGATGTTGATGTGAGTTCACCATTACTTGATGCTAAATTTTCTTTTAAGCCCGTAGTAGTTGATACCCGAAGGATTGTTTTAATCACACAAGCAGTTTCCTATATTTCTTAGGTCTAACATATAAATCTTAAATTTCCATTTTTGCTTAGCAGTGCACTAGTACACTGTATTAGACAGAAAATCTGAGAACTCTTCACATAGAAGACTTAGAAGTCAGTTATATTTTGGAGAATGAATAGTAATATTTTTCATATTATTTAACCTTACCCTTTCATGATCATAACAAATACATTCAGGTATTACACTGAATATAAACAGTCTGTACACCCTTGTTAAAATTCCAGGTTTTTGAGATGTAAAAAAAAATCAGACCAAGATAAATAATTTCAGATTTATTTATTTATTTGTTTTGCAAACACCTATATCAAGTCTGACAAAGCATTGAGAAAATGTGTTATGGTCTCATGAGACCAGAGTGGAATTGTTTGACCATAATCCGAAAAAGTATGCTTGTTGCAAAAACAACACTGCACATTATTAAAAGTACACCATACTGACAGTGAAACATGGTGCTGGCAGCATTGTGCTTTGGGGCTACCCTTCTTCAGCTGGTATGTAGACTGTTTATATCCATTGTGGCTGCACTGAAATTAAGAAGTACTTTGACTTAGGGTATAGCTCTGCAAATATTTGGGAGATTTAAGCACATAACATTGGCAGATTCCTACAGGAGTTTAGTTTACGCAATATCTTAAATTTTGTGCTTGTTTACATGAATGAGCCCATACAGTGCTCAATTCTAAGAGCTTCAGTAGTACTATACTCATATAAAATAAATATTCAAATCAGCATATTATTTTGAAAAATATAACAAATACATTATAAATATAGTTTATAATATATAATTGATTATAAATTGCATTTATAAACAATTAGACCACATTTACATTAATATGTCAAATAGCATTGTAAACTGTTTAATTTTGCAACATCGAGTATACTCTTTCCCATCTTCCAGTCCTTGCATGTTGCTTCTACCATCTTGATCCTGAAACAATTTTATATCCCATTATAAAAGTAGGAAAAAAATTCTGGATCTAGTTAGCTGCATTCCTTTGTGTGTTTTTCTTTTACATACATGTCTACACCCTGAGAATTCACAAACATGAGCTCATGGTAGAACTGGGTGTGGAAAGTTTGCCCTGGTGTTGTTTTGCCCTTTGGGAAAAAGAGAAATGAGCACTAGAAGAATTTGAATGGTGTTTGTTTTGCAATGAACAAAGTAGTCATGCCTCTTACATGTACAATTGTGAGTCAGATTTTGTCTTTTATTCCTTCCAGATTTTTATATCACATTGCAGTATGTTTGGGTTTAGATTTTTATAAATTATTATATGCCATCATTACATGCAGCAAATCCTTGTGACACCTGCACCGTCAGATTCCAGTTGCAATAATAAAGAGTGCTGTGTTGGGGTGAAAATAGTAAAGAAGCAGTGGAAATATTGCAGACATGTTATGAAATACGTCATTGACTGCTTAACAAATAACAAATCGTTATTTTTGTATAAAATAATTGTTTATGATTATTTATAACTTGCTTCTTTTTTTATAAATAACCAAAGCAGTGAACATACCTAATATTTATTCCTCCTATTTTCTCTATAACAATACTGTGAGACAGGTTGGACTGAGTGAGAGTGACTGGCCCAAAGTCATAGTTAAGGCAGAACCAGAATTCATAGTGTCCTGATTTCTATCAGTGCCTTAACTTCTAGACCAGGGGTGTCCAACCTTGGCAACTTTAAGACTTGTGGAGCTTTGCTGGCCGAGGAATTCTGGGAGTTGAAGTCCACAAGTCTTAAAGTTGCCAAGGTTGGACACCCTTGGTCTAGACCAAACCGGCTCTCTTTAGTCTCATTTAAAGCTCTTAATTAAACAGACTTGCTTCAAAAAGTGCTACACTTTGAACACAGAATGGAGGGATTGTATTGTACGGGTCAGATCTGGAAATCCCTTTTGTTAATGAATAGAATTCTCACTAATGAAACAACCCTTCATTTTCCTTCCCCCCCTCCAAGATCTCTTCCTGAAGCTAGGTAATCATTGCAAAAATTGCTTGATGTTGCATAAGGGAATGCAGACAAATGGATGAATTTATGGAAATTATGCTAACTACGCAAATTAAGGAACAATTATTATTATGGCTATGCTTTCAGCAGGCCATTGCTTTATATAATTTTTTCAGGATTGGAAAATTGCTTCATGGGATTTGGTTTAAATCCTAAGTTAATTGATAATAATAATAATTCTTTTGTTATAAGACAGTTTTAATTGTAAGTTAGTGTGTATTACAATTATGGTTTGCTGTATAAAGTGAAAGAAAGCTAAAACTGAAAGAAAGCATTTATGTTCAGATCCTTCATGAATCTGTTATAGATACTAGAACCTCTTGCCTCACTTCAATATAGTTCTTAATTGTATATTAAATGTGAGGTCCTCTCCTAGCATGGTCGTTTTCTTGCAGACATTTCTTTACCAACTAGGCAACATCATCAATGCTAGGAAAGAGTGGGGTTTGCTCTCTGTTTATATAAAGTGGCTTGCTCTCTCAGAGCTGGTGGGAATGTTCCTTGACTAGACTATTGTTTACTGTTTTGTCTAGCAATAATCTTGGCGTTAATCTCTGCTTATCTGGGTGTTTGATTGCTAGTCAAGAGGTGTTTTGGTCTTTTTCCTTTATGTGGTTACGAGAGTCCAGAGCATAGGGTATACTTTGTCTTCTCGCTGATTGGACTGAGTCTGCCAAAGTTGTTTAAGCTCCGCCTCTGTTGCTGGCTCCTACCCAGCTTTCTACTCAGTCCCTCAGTCTGGACGGACGTGTGATAGTGAGATCTGAAGTTTTGTTTTCATGGGTGGTAAAGTGCATTTGGGAAGGAGGAAGTCAGTGCTGGAGGCTATTTCTCCATTTTTGGAACAGCCTCAGAAGCGGCGAGCAGGGCTAGGATACCCAGCCGTTCCCAGCACAACAACTGGGCTTTGGCCCCAGGCATGAAGGCTGAGTCCGCGTGGGAGCAGCGATTGCCATTCGGTGGGCAGATCGGCCTGCTTCTCAGCTGTTTTTCGGTGATCAGACTGTAGTGCAAGCACTGGAGTCACAATCCAGCACTGAGGAGAGAAGAACGGTGCAGCCTCATTGACCTCAGAGGGCCTGACCCAGGGAAGGGCCTGAAGAGTTCCAGAGGCCCTTGGCTGGTATGAAGTGCAAAAAATAGCACGAGAAAGCCCAGACGATCAGCAGGACATGGTCTCAGCCCTAGATCAGGCCTGGGCAAGGCTGGAACCAAGCCTGAAGACCTGGTAAGGAGATTTTACTGGCAAAGGGTGGCTGGGAGCCTGCAGGAGAGAGTTGTATCTGCATTATCCTTCCCCCACTTCCCCCAATCTCCTTTTTCGGGCACATGGAACCTGTTTTTTTGCCTAGATGGCAAAGGCCCAGGCTTCCATCAAGGCACCAAGAGAGGGCAGTCACAGCCCCACAAGCTCAAAAGGGGCAAGCAGAGGCAGAACAACTAAGAAGGCCCCAGTTCCAAGAAGGACTCCAAGACAGAGGAAAAGGAGGCCTCACGACGCCAGAAAGCCTTAGAAAAGCAGTTTGAGAAATCTCAAAAAGCTGCAGGTGGGCGGAGTCACAGATCACCTCCCCAGGTGATTCAGTTTTACTCCACCAAGCCAGTGGTTTACAGGACAAGGCAGGGTCTGCTCCTGAGAGTAGGCAGCGTGTGCAGGCCTGGTCACCTGATGATATGGAGAATCCTGTAG